AAATAAATATTTATAGCATTAAAGACAATTTTTAATGCTATAAATATTTATTTTTAAAAAATTCAATTTAAAAAAAAAACTGAATATCAAATATTAAAATTATAAAAAGTTTTTAAAAATTCATAAATTTATTTAAAGTATATTTTTAAAAATAAAAAATTATATACAGTAAAACCTGTCCAAAACGGAATCTGAATAAACGAAAACCTGTCTAAACGGAAAAGAGCGATTTTCTGTTTAAAAAAAACTGTTCAAAACGTAAACTTGCCAAACAGGAAAAATATTTGGTTGTCCAGCTTACACAGGTTTTACTGTATCTAGATGTATATAAGGTAAAACCTGTGTAAACCGGAATTACAGGGTGGTTATAATTAAAGTTGCGCTACTCAGACCTGTCTAGAGCCCGTTCTCGTGGACGTATTTTGATGAAATTTGGTATATATGTTATATGGACCATGGGGAAAAGGAAAATGCCAAAAAAATATTTAGTTCGAATTTTTACCACTAGGTGAAAAATGGCGCATGAAGAATAGGAAACACAAAATGGAAACACGCAAAAGATTTTTATTCACAGCATTTGTTCAATGTGCAATCCATTTGTATCAATCTTCTTATTTTCTTAGAAATATTTGATAAAATTACTTAGTGTTTTTTAATTATTATTTTTTTAAATAATAATTAAAATTTCTGATATATTTCTGATCATTTCTGATATATTTTTATTGATAAATTAGCTTTTAAAATATTTACCATTTAAACAAAATAAGTTGTTTTAGTGGAATTTTAAGATTTAATTTATAAAAATCCATCAACGAGTTGTATAACTTACCCACCCGGAAACATTTAAAACTACATGTTGCGCCATCTATTATGATATTTTATTAATAAAACATTTTATATTATTGCTTATTATAAAATGACAAAAAAAGCTTAATTTTGAGGGGAGGGATGAGTTTAAAAAAAATTGTAAGTGCTAATAACGAGTAAAATCATTAAGTCCGACCTTACTCGAGATAAGAGACACGACCTCCCTCTATCTCCTCACCCTCTCGACCTTTATCCACCAAAATTTAATAGCATCGATGCCCCTAATACCAAAACCTCCCTGCAAAATTTCAGAAATTTTCGACAAATAACACGGGAGTTATTAAGATTCAAAGAGGGTAAAGAAAATCATGCCTCACACAGAACCCCTCTCACCGATTATTTTTTTACTCGACGTTTCAAGGGGTTTTTTGCATTGCCTAATAATCTGGGGAGAGATCATTTTCTGACCCATCTCTTTACTTTCCATCTGTTATATATAACAACAGAAAAAGTAAAAAATTTAAGTATAAAAATTAAGAGTTAACTTAATAATTTGGAACTTAATATTATGCTCTATGAGAGACCTTGAAGTATATCTGTATATAAATATTCTAAACAGAAGGCAAGTAACTAAAGTTCGGTTTACACTATGATGTGAACCATTTTAAACGAACGAAAAGAATACGAACCGAAACAATGGCTAAAAAGGTTTCGAACACTAGTTGTGAAAAATTGTTTGGTGAAACTGAAATTCGGCAAAATTTAACTCCTAGCAAACTGGTCGAATACTGGTCGAAAGGGGACGAACTGGCAGTTCGAATCCATTTCGTAGCGGTTCGTATGCCAGTGTGAGTCTAGCTGAAGACCCTCTCTATGGTTTGTAACCGTACGAGATACTGAGGTTATGAAATCCATGGATGTGGATTCCCATAAAAAGATTAGATTCCTCGACTCTCTATCACTGATAAAAAATCAGTTACGGGTAGGAAAAAGAGTAAGAACAAAGGAAATTTGGCAGTTCGGAGAGAGAAAGATGTGGAAAACGTTCCCCAAGTTAAGTTTTTTAGCCTTGGATATGGGGTTAGCAGACAAGTTTAAGGATATTTTTTTTAAATTTCCAAAGATAAATTTCAAGCGATTTTGTATGTTTTATAAATATTTTTTTAAATATAAAAAATGTGCAAATAAGGACTATTTTGATCAATTATCACACAGCAAGTTCTTGCTTACTTGTTTAAGTACAGTACGTACGGTACACTTTAGTAGAAAGAGCTGTGCTAAATATACTCTGTTGAAAGCGCTCTAGTAGATCTTTCAATATGAGAAGATAATGGCAACAATTTAACCTTTGCAGACATATTACAGATAAAGACACCAATTTTTAGATAAAGATAGTGTCTAAAAATTGATGACAAAATGTGATAGTGAGGGGTAGGTAGTGACATCATATTTGAATGACCCCTTATATGCATTACTAAAATATACAGTATCACTTTTCTTACGGTAGTTTAAAAAAGAGTTGCTAGTGTCTCATTCATTCTAGTTACTGCATACTATGCCTAAAACCATTTTTTTTTTGCACTATTAACAGTGAAGACAGATTTTTACATTAATGGATATTAAACTTTTTTAATATAACTAAATTGTGTATATCAAAAATTAGATAATTATTATCTCATTTATTATTTTATGAATTCTAGAATCTTTTGAAAGAGAGTCTAGGGTCAAAACGACTTTTGGCCCTTGGTAACTGCATTATGGAAAGGAGCAACAGTAAAAGAGTCTGATCGAAAATAGTTAATATTAATTAAGGCTAAGAATTTTTTCAGCTGGAGAATTTTTGCTTCAGTCTAACCACCTCTTTTTTATTTATGTGTCTTATACGCGTTAATTTCTGTACGACTCTGCCGGAAAGTGAACATAACCCCCAGTTGGCTATTGAATATTGTCACCGTTCTTGTGCCCTTTTTTTAAAGAATAAACGTGCTAACGTTTCCTCCTTTCTGCATTTATGCACAAGTTTATCATCCGACAAGGAAAAGCAGGTCTTTCGAGAGATGTCATATTTCGAAGGAACGACCATGTAAGTCCTTTGGAGTCAAACCACGCAGAAAAAACTGAACTTATGCGTTGTGCTCCTCTCTCAATAATTAGTTTTTTTAGGCATGATACCTGTTTACTCATACTTCCCGAATGCTGATCTGAATATATGCCGTTTCTTTAGAACTCAGGAGGATGTCTCCATGATGCCCAATGGAATGATCGAGTAGGCTAAAGATGACCGCTATGTAAACTAGACTGGAGAGCAAGTCACTAGAAATATTCCTGGGTATAAGGACCGATAGGAACAATTTGAAGTGACTAATTAATTAAAGACAAAATAAAAATTGTACTAAAGAAAAAGAAGTCCTGTTGGTCAACCAAGGGCAAATCAGTGTATGACTTATTTACTCAGGTCGAAAGTTCTTTGAGAAAGCTGTTTAAGAGTATTAAAATATCCTTTCCTGAAAGGATAACCTTGCTAAGGATCATTTTATCAATGGTTTGATTCCTCCTATAATGAGAAATATTCTGAGGGCAGCTCCAATGATCTGTTGCAAGCTACCATATAACTGAAGAACGAAGAATAGATTGATTATTATGACTGCATGCTCTCTCAAACAAGTGTAAGTACGAGTGTCAAATCGGTTGATAATAATTCGAAGAAGAAAAATCATGAAGCTCGTTTATTGACCTTCCAGCAAAGGATGGATATCATATGTAAAATGAGTAAATTGATGGAGTACTTTAAGAGAGAGAGAAGCCAGTGCTAGCGATTGCTAAGTTATGTTTTCGGTGAAGACAACATTATGCCAAAAATTGCTCCAGTCAATGCTCTCAAATTTAAACGAATGGAAAGATTGCACTTTTTTAGCAGTAAAACTATACTAATTGCTTAATGTAATTATCAAAAATCGGCTGTAAAATTTGGTTAAACAAATGCTATTCATAATTTATATGATAATATAATAATAAAATGTAAATATCAAGAAATGTGAACAATTTATAGGATCTATTTTCAAGATAAGAAAATATGAACAAGACTATTTTATATAATGTATGTAAGGAAAAACATTACTTGAAAAAATAATAATAATTTTACAAGAAAAAAAAGAAATACTACTTAGTTTAATGGAGATAGTTTTAGTAAGTGAATTAATATTTCATCATAAGACTAAAAACATTAGAAAGGAAAGAAAAAAATAAAGCAATTAGACAAAAAGCATAGT